AGACATGCGCACACACTTATACATACATGTCTGTGTATACACCTACATGTATACATTCTTTCATATATACATTCCTACCTACCTACCTACCTACCTACCTACCTACCTACCTACCTACCTCCCTGCCTCCCTGCCTACCTACCTACCTACCTACCTACCTACCTCCCTACCTACCTACTTATCTACCTACCTACCTACCTACCTACCTACCTACATACATACATACATACATACATACATACATGCATACGTGCATACGTGCATACGTACATATGCACATATATACATATATACATACATACATACATGCATACATGCATACATGCATACATACATACATACATACATACATACATACATATGTACGTACATGCATACATACATACACATATACGTATACGCATAGTCATATACATATATAGACAGATATACACATGAATATACAAATACATCTACATATGCGTCTGCACAACGATGCTTATGCTCATGCATATGCATATACCAAAACATATACACACACATATACCTAGACATCTATGTCTGTGTGCGTGTGTTTGTACGGATGTATGCATGTATACGCTCATGTATGCATGTATGCGTGTGTGCACGGATGTGTGTATGTGTGTGCATGTATGCATACATGCATATTTGCACACATGTATGTTTGCTTGTTCTAATGTACACATGTATGCACGCACGTGTGTATATGATTATGCCTGTATGCGTACATGAATATTTGCACACATTCATGTGTGCATGTGCGCGTGTATGCACGCATGCACACATGCATGCACTCCTTGCTGGCGCACTAACGTGCTTGCACTCTCCCACAGTCGCCCGCGCACGTGGGAAGGTGTACATGGATGTGAGCTAAGTGCAAGCAATTCTGTATCACGACGGGCGCCGCAGCTGGTCTGGATCAAGCCCAAGGGGTGATGCTGAAAGCAGACAAGCCGAGATGACACTGCTGGCCCTCAGGATAGACTAAGAGACACATCCAAAATCGCATCGGGGACCCCTTCAGTAAAACCAGCCGTCTTCTCGATGTTGTTGTCGGCCATGTTCTCAGGCTGACCACGATGCTGAGTTGGGATGTGCATTTGCTCGACTCTGACTGGTGACCAAGGCTGCAAGGCTGGGACGAATCCCTCGGGAGATTGTCTTTGCAGTGGCGAAAGGCTCTTTGCACAGACATGAGGGATCGCGCTTTTCGCGATTGTGTAGTCTCATGTGCTGCTTTGGCTGCTTTGGATTCAAGGGTTTGAGGCATGTACGGACGCTCCAAACGATGCTTCAAACTTGCGACGGTGAGAGTCATGAAGGAGCTCAACCACCTGTGACCCATGTCTGAGTGGTAGTTTCCGTGAGGGTGACCTGACCTCGCTAGCCAGCCTGTCTGTGTAGCTCGTTTGTTATCTCACAGGTACTGGATGAGAATCAAGAAGCGAAAGCAAATGCGCATTCTATGGATCACCCGAATCAATGCGGCAGCCATCTCAGCGGGAGAGAGCTGAGCCACCTAGTTGTTAGTTGGCAGCACGAGAGGGTCACGTCGTCGTATAGACAGTCTGCTCAGATGTCAGAGGGAGTTCCTTCACATTGCGACGCTTTCAAGAAACATGTGAAAATCGTAGGAGGAGGTTTGGTAGCGGTGCCTGTGCCAGCCAATGTGTTTAAATACAACGTAAATACATAGAGGTTTAGAATTCAGACAACATAAGTGCTTATTACCATGCTGATTCGACGGACGATTTTTCAAGTCTGCTATTGGGTATTCGGAGGAATGCTGCAATTGCAGGGAGCATAATTAGGCGGCGTTTTCACTCTTGCTTGGCCAGTTCGGGTTAACTCGCATCGACCGGAGGAAATCCACATCGATCGGCATCCACACAGGTGTTTCGGCACTTCGAAACTGGCCCTGGCGTGGATTCGCCGCCACACAACATTCGGCGTAGCATCCACACTGCGTATCTGCATTTCAAAACCCGGAATGCATCCAGCCAGCTGGAGAGCATTAACAGGCTGAGCAACCGGGCCCGCGGGTTTCAGCCAAGCACAGGAATTGAGACTCAATGCCAATGCTTGGCCCCTAGCTTCCGGAGGCTTTCCCAGCACCAACGCTAGCTGCGAGGATATCTGGGCTGTGTCGGTCTCCCGGCAATTGCAATGCGGCAACAAAAACAAGCATCATCAAGGGGATCCTTCTCGGCACTCGCCAAAACAATGCAAAAAGAAGTAAACCATGCCTCTGCCGCCTCGGCTTAGAGCATGAAAAATGCGCCAGGTTTCATCAGGTTTCGAAGTTTCCGGTATTAATTTCAACGGCATCCACATTGGTCTGCAGGAGCTGTTGACGTGCATTTTCGGCACGAGGGGGGGATTCATTGATTCGAAACATTTACACTCTTGATCCCTGCAACTTTCGTCAGAATGCTGAAGCCCATGCAAAAGCACAAGATATCGTGGTGAAACTCCGTCCGTTCTTTCAGCTTTCCCCGCCTCTGAACAAATCCATGCACATGCTGAAAAGCAGTGACAGGGTGCCTCAAGCTTGCTGCGACTGCGAGACAGCATCACATGGTTGATCATGGTTGGGACCGGTTGCATAACACCAAGCATCCATGTGTTGTACTCAGGCTTCGCGTGAACATGGACTGGCATATTCTCGATTGATTAGTGGCTTGAGCCGAGCAAATGCCATCCCGTCTGGTCTTGCCTAGGACGTTTCATGCTGTCGGAAGTCTGATGTCCGCATGTACGTGGATGGCTTGCCAGATGTACGTGGACAGAAAGAGCCTCTGCCATCTGGCAGAGACTGAACCGGTGAGCTTCAAGTGCATAGTGGACGAAGCCAAGAGGCCGCCTTCTCACATCTGGAGCGTGACGGCCAGCACGGCTGGCAGAATGTTTGTGTTCAGGACGGTGAGGCCACAGAGCATGGAATGGGCCGCAGTCTTGTGTCTCTCGCTGCGCATGAGCCATTCTGCCTAGATTTGTTGCAGTTCTGCCAAGGTGCGAAACCTGTCCAGGTTCTGAATGTGTCGCTGCCGCACAGCTGGGATATCGCATCTGCGCTCGACATGAGCACAGCTGAAAGTGGCATCGAGTTGAAAAGTTCGCGTGCGTCTTCCCGTTGTCCGTCTTCCCGCTGTCCCTGGAGCTGGAATTTGTCGAAGTCTGGATGACGATCTGTCAGGTTGTGGAGAGCTCGCCAGAAAGCATTCTGGAGAAGCAGCCTGCACCTGAGAAGTTGTAAGGAGATAATGCCATCCATCAGCGTGCATGAAAGGCCGGAGGTGGAAGAAGGCCAGCAACCCAGCTGATTCCGGATTATTGTAATCGTACGGAATGCTACGAACGAGCGACGAGCAAAGTGGGGGATGAGCCGCATCATGAGCTGAGTAGGAGGTGTGGGGAGCAACAGTGGATCGCATGTCGAGAAATCTGAAACCGTCTGGAGCTACAGGCCACGTCTCGGGAAGCACAAAAAGAGTCAAGTGTTTTGGGATTTGCCGGCTGTTGGCCTCATGTCCGGTTTGAGTCGATCCGACCTTCCTGTGTCGTTCTCGGTTCTGTCGGCGCAAGTCTTCAGCAAGATTTGAATTGTCGGGCGGCACTCGGGCAGTCCTGAAGACACGCTGACATTGGTGGACGCTGGTACGGAAAGGCATCTCAAGTCTCGCACAACTTGCTGCAGAGTTTTCGTGGATCAAACTCAAGCTTCGGCCCAGACAAGTCACCCACCTGATGTCGTCTGGTTCATCTTGCGTCCTGCGGGCTGCACATCCTCGAATCCTCACTGGAAGCCTGTGGGTGATGTTAGGTTCCGGGTGCATGTCGATGCGAAGATCGGCAGTCTCACTTTTGTCCAATGTCATGCCTGCACGCTGCACGCATCGCTCCAAGAGCGCTGTTCTAGCCTCTGCTCTGGCCAGCTGCAAATCGTCGTCTCGGCCGCGTGGTCTCCTTGATCAAGCAGGCCAGGGGAGACCGGGATGTGGGAAGGGCCTCAGGAGGGCCTTGCTGCGCAGGTTCAGGATGCCGTCGCCAAAGGTGACAGCGGCCCTTGGGTCTTCCACTCGGCTTTTTGAGTCCTCGGATCGGTGCTTGGTATTGGAATTATTGGAATTGTCTGCGTGAGGTGTTGCAGTGGCAGCAGGGTCCTCTGATTCTGGGCAAGTACGAGTTGGCTGGAAGCTTAAAGTCTTAAAGCCGTTATATTGAAGTATGCAGCCCACAGCTTGTCAGCTGAGCTGTTTGGAGGTCTCTCAGGCGGAGGACAGATTCTGCCCGGGAATGGCTTGACATGCGTCAGCTGCAAGAACGCTTCTTGCCAGGAGATGGTGGCGGCGTAGTAGTCAAAACCGTGAGGATGGAAGCGATCCATCTGAAGCGTAGTACCTGCGAAGACATACAGCATCGTACACGCAGTCATATTCCTGCATCAGCCTGCTGCAGAAGGATGTGACACTACTGTGGTGTTCAAATCAGAGCTCATGTAGTGATCTTCGTCCTCGGCTATTCCTGCTGGGGAGAAGGCCGAAGCTGGATGCAGCCTGCTGCATGCAAAACGACGCAGCATGGATGTCGAAGTTGAGTCGCAAAGCCAGTTCTGTGATGGGGCTCGTGACTTCAGCAGCTGTGTACATATATCAAGATGTTGTCATCCTAGTAGTGAACCATCCTGTGGCCTTGTGGCCACTGAAGCAGTTTCTTGGCTGTATTGAGGCGCTGCCAAACCCCAACGACCGGTCATCAAACTTGTCATGTGCAGTTGGGTTTATGATATTGAAGCACTGGATTCCCATTGAACAGGATAGTTTTGGAAAGGTTCGGTCTGGAGTCTTGGAGGGTGTAAAGGAGTTTTTTGTCGTTTGTTTGCCCTTGTCGTGTCATGCAGCAGTCCTGATTCCGATGATCGAAGATAAGTTGACAACTTGTTTGTTCGTTCTCAGGCTGGGCTGATGCGCCCTCACCTTTTGGTGCTGCGATCCGCTCAGAGATTTCAAGTTCACCGTTGTGCTGTCTGCCAGGAAAAGCACCTTCAAGAGAAGATGCTGGAAGGTTTGAGAGTTCTTGTCGACGAACCTGTATCCTGACGAACTCCAATCCCCAACGGGACCACGCCCCTCCAAGACAGCAGGCTCGCCGAAGGCTGACGCGAAAGTTGGCATCTCCCCTTAAGTGGAACCATGAAGGACATGAATCTTGAGCCTAATCAATGCCGTACGCACGTTGGGTATGGACATGCCTCCAGACCGTGTTGCCATTGCGGACACGACTGAATGTGAATAGTATCACGAAGACACCAGCACGTTGACAGCACAAGACTACAAATTTCTGGAAGCAGTCTTCGTGTTGAGTTGGGTCGGTGAACATGGCACCGGTAGGCGAAGCAAAAACGTATCCGACACCAGGATTGCCTTTGCTACACGACTGCTCTGCATTCACGTCGTCTCACAGGTGCGCAAGACCCGTGTACAATTCGCAGTCGTTCACTGCAGTGTGTTCACCTGCACTGCAAGCAAACACACGATGCGTGCAAGGCGATTACATGAAAATCCAAAAAATTATGTATATGTATATATATATAT